TTGAGTAATCTATGCAACACTACATGGTGGCCTTCCTTAGATTCAAAAGATCAGAGTGCACCAAGGCAACAATTGCCCACTATTCAAAAACAACATAGTTGCTGGAGTAGAGGACAAGTGACAATTAAATATTTTTTAAAAAGATGTTTGAAATGTCATGGTTAGGACGCTAGCAACACGAACTACTGCCAAGATGCCTATGGGTGAGAGAAAACATGAATTAAGAGGGTCATGATAGTACCCGAAAATACCTCATGCATCCAAAGGAAACCAGAATATGTCACCCCAAAATATGCCTCTTGACCTAGGAATTATTTTGAGTTGAAGGCAATTAAACAGTAAACACAGAAAAAGCTCCCCCTTTTGTGCCTAAAGGCAGGAAATAAATTCTTTTCCTGGAGACAGACACTTATCAGCCCCAAGACAGGGCACCAGAGGAATCTGCAAACTAATCTTGTTAAACTAACCCTTATCTTCCTAGTTTCTTCTTCACCATTTACTATCTCTAACCTAAACTCCTTCATCTTGTCAATTACTCATAAATGTATTGTTTCTTTGTCTAAAAGGTATAAAAGCTTCCTGCTCTGGTCAGTTCTTAGATCTTCATTCCCTTATGAAGGCCCCCAAGTACATGTAAAAATTCAGTAAAATTTGTATGCTTTTCTCCTATTAATCTTTGTCAATTTAATTTTCAGACCCAGCCCGGAACCCTAAGAGGGTCAAGGAAAACTTTTTCCTCCCAGAAAGATCACATCTACAAATGAGGTAAGAATGGAAAGAGGTTGGGGCGCCTGGGTGGCTCAGTCAGTTATGCATCTGTCTTCAGCTCAGGTCATGATCCCAGGGTCCTGGGATGGAGCCCCGTGTCGGGCTCCCTGCTCAGCAGGGAGCCTGCTTCTCCCTCTCCTTCCGCCGCTCCCCTTGCTTGTGCTATCTCAAATAAATAAATAAAATCTTTTAAAAAAAAAATGGGAAGAGGTTAAAAAAGAGTTATATAAATCTTAAAAATCTTTAAAAAAAAAATGTTGGGGGGCACACCTAGGTGGCTCAGTCAGTTAAGTGTCTGCCTTGAGCTCAGGTCATGAACCCAAGGTCCTGGGATTGAGCCCCTCCACAGACTCCCCTGCTCAGCAGAGAGTCTGTTTCTCCCTCTGCTCTCTCCCTGCTCATGCTCTCTCTCTCTCTCAAATAAATAAATAAATAAATAAATCTTTAAAAAGAGAAAGAAAGACAGCCGTTGGTGGTCAGAAGGTAAGGGTAAAATAAAGGGGCAAGCCAAGGCAAATACTGCAGGACTGAGTCTACAAGTGGACAATATGTTCTGGGCAATCATTCTTGGACTGAAGTCTTGCTGCACAGGTCTTATTTTTGTATATGGTGGTATAATATCTGCGAATGTTCAAAGGATTTTGCAGGTGGGATGTTCCAAACACAAGGTCTTCCCCTGAAAAGCAACTGAAAACATGTGTATAATTATTAAACCATACTTGCATAAGTGAATCAAGAAAAGATTCTCTGATGATGACGGTTTTTCATTCTTATTCCAGAAGTAAGAGTAAAATGGTAAGGAATGGGTATAAAATGGAGGGTGGGGTGAGGGTTGCCTATTCATTTAGTCTCTATTCTATAAATAATTACTGAGGTCCTACCTCATGCTGCACAGTCAGCTCTAATATTTTATATTCCTGCATCTAAGTAGTTGCTCAAAATAAACTGCATATGCAAATAAAACGGTTTTATAAGGAATTTTCCAATGAATCACTTACTGTTCCATCTAGATCATCTGGGTAACATCCTCTCTAAATGTAAGTATTACATTCCATAAAGGAAAAGGAAATCTGAACTGGACTCTGCTCCTTAAGACAGATTTTTAAAACTCCTATCCCTCACCTCTCCTATTTCAAATATCCAACCATCATAGAGAAGAAGAAAGCACCTAATCATCCTCCAGAATACAATAGGTTAATAGACATGGGAACAAGAGAGAAATAAAATGGAAACAGAGGCATCTTCTAAACGTGTCCTTTCATGTCGTTTTATCTACCAAGTCACTCCCTGATTTGGGCTGTCTCTGCACCTGGCAACTCTTGTACTGCTACACTTAGCACATTGAGTGTATAAACTTTCTATTTACTTAGCTCCTTCTTGCACTAGACCACAGGCTGCTGGAGAGCAAGAACCAGGTTTTAATCACTGCCACATCCCCTCCCGTAAAGTAAAGCCTGGTCCGTAGGAGGCCCACAGATGGTTATCTAGGTCTATAAGCTAGAGAACACATCCCAAGGGTTATTGAGAAAAGGACTGTCTAAAATAGATATTAGGAGTTAGAATCAGTGTCTAGAAAACTCAAGGAGCAGTAATGGAAGAATTACCAGTAAGGGAACGCAAGCAAGAGGGAGGGCAGGTTTGAGTAAATCCCTGAAATAAGAACTATGCTCTTAACTGACTGTGTGAAGGAAAAAGATGGGAAACATTGGGATGCTAGTACAAAATATAAACAAATGGGATATGCAATTTGGGTTTGCAATTTGTTATGTGTTGCACTTTTATATTTATCTTTGTCAATGACCTCTCCAGGATTTGAAACTTGAGACTTCTGAACCATCCTCACCAATCCCTCCCCAACATCACCACGTCCAAGAGTCTCAGTTCTTCTCTGGTTTCTCCTTAACCCTTTCCCAGTATTTTATTCTCACAGCTGCCACTTCTGTTTAGGTCCCCATTATTTTTCACTGGAGTCGTATGCTCCTAATTCAATTCTCTGTTTCCTGTCCTTTAAAAACTGTTCTCTGGTCTGAGCCTATCTTTCTAAATTTTGGTTCTGATTATATAACTTCCTGATTCAATAACCTCAATGGCCCTCTATTTGCAAAGTTCTCTAGAGTAAAACTCTAAGTCATTATTACCACAATACAAGTAACATGGCAGAGTGAACGTGCATGGGCAATGGAGTCAAATAGAACCAAGTTTTGAAAACTGCATCTACCAGTCACTAGCAATGTAACTACATGAGTCACTTTTACCTCTCTAAGGTTCAGATTTCCAGAGAAAGAATGGTAACTCAGAAGACTAAAAAAGAATATGCCTAGTCTAGTGCTGGGTAGATGAAAGGGGCTCTATATCTTTCCTCCCACCTTCCCACCCAAACCACAATTTCAGCCTTGATGATACCCTTACATAGCTCTAAACATTGTGCCTCACGATGCTGTCCTCTGTGCTCCTACAAGATCTTTGATTGCAGTTCACATATCACTTATCCTATTCTGCTTGTGTCTTATTATAAGCACATTTAGATATAATTATTATTTTGAGCAGTTAGTCCTTTCTTCCCTTCTAGGTTGAAAAAAACTCAAGATGAGGATTTGATCTTGTTCATCTTCTTATCTCCCATAACATAGAGCATTAGGTACTACGCATAATAGGAACACTATAAATGTCTACTAGTTGAATTGTATACTTTTACATGACCTACTCAAGTTTTAAAACCAAAATTTCCTTTTGCTTTAAGAATGAAAAGAGAAGCAGAACAGAGAATTACTATCACGGGCCTTGAAATACAGTCAATGTTCCCTAAATTGAGTTGATTAATTTGTGTATCACAGACTGAACACCTACTATGGTGAAGACAGTCTTTAAAAATAAGGGTTTTCAGGGGCGCCTGGGTGGCTCAGTTGTTAAGTGTCTGCGTTCGGCTCAGGTCATGATCCCAGGGTCCTGGGATCAAGCCCCGCATCGGGCTCCCTGCTTGGCGGGAAGCCTGCTTCTCCCTCTCCCGCTCCCATCGCTTGTGTTCCCTCTCTCGCTGTGTCTCTGTCAAATAAATAAATAAGTAATCTTTTAAAAATAATTAAAAAATAAAGGTTTTCAGTCAAAAAAGATGGGCAAAAGATAATAGCTACTCAAATCCATCATTACTACTGAAAAAAAACACACCCAAAGATCAGTTCTAATGTTATCGAACAGCAAAATTATTCTGCTCTAGAATATGAGTATTAATTTGAATAGGTTTGTACTGTTTCCACAGAAACTAAAACCTAAAATAAGCTTAAATTGCATGCAGAAATGTATGACTTTAAGGATGCTTTAGCTGAACTGTATCCAATGAAAAAAATTATGTTTCCTATTTTATTTTTGGTAAATAATATAAAGATCTAATCTTTGAGCAGATTAAAAATTAATACAGTGATACTGCATATTTTTAAAGTCTTTCTCTTGAAAGTAAAATAACCCAAAGTCAAACTTTTATAAGAGAGCATAGAAGTTATTACTAATGTAACTTTTAACAGTTGTTGCTGCTAACTTTTATAAAAACACATGTCAAAATGGTTAAGCTCATGAATTGTCAGGAGACCCCAGTTAAATCTCTTAGAGCTTTAGTTTTTGACCAAATGGACTTAATCTCCATCTGATTGAGCCCTTGATAAATGGTAGTTGTAAAAATCATCATCATTATCACATAAGTTTACTTCGTTGTAATTATTTACGACTTGATTATATATATTATATATCGCCATTACATTATATTCTATATGTATGTATAATATTACATTATGTATTATAGCGGCGATATATGAAATTCTCAGCTACCTTTTACAGATATTTTTTACAAAGTACTCTTCTTTCAAAGACGTCTTGCTCCCAAGGCTATAAGCGGCCAGAGCCGCTCCAGGCAAGCCGCACTGTGCTCAACCCCCTCTGGCGCGCGGGTGGCCTCGTCGCGGGCCGGCTCCCGAGGCTGTTGCTGCGGCCGGGCGGTGCTCAGCCGCGAGGGGCCCGCGGGAGCCGCGAGGGGCGCAGGCCTGTGGCGGGCGCCGGGGCCCAGAATGGGCTGCACGGCGAGTCCTGGCCAAGCCGCCCGCGCTGCCCCGCCCGCTGGCGGGAATGAGTGACGGCGACAACAGGTGCAAGCGCGGAGTCCAAGGTTCTCGGGAGTCCCCGAGTTTGGCGCGTCAGGCCCGAGGGGTCAGAGTTTGAGTCTGGAAACCGCCCTCCTCGCCTTGCACCAGCCTTCCGAAGTCGCCCCTCAACCGGCCTCTTGCTCCTTAGTAAAGCCTGAGGTCACGTCAACCTCTAGAAACCCACCAGTCCTGGGCGCCGAATTTTCTCCAAAGGGGAGAAGAGAGGAAGGCGTGCGGTGCATGGTGCTTTGCATAACCGTTCGCGCTCTCCTCCCCAGCCGTCGGAAAGCAGGCGAGAGTGTCCCCAGAGCCAAGCCCTCGTCCGCACACCACACGCCCACCCCGACTTTGGGGCACGCTCTTCCCCTCAGACGGCCCAGCTCGGCGACCACGGGCCACAGCCGAAACCGCCCGCCCGCGCCGCTCCCCGGCTTGCGGCGCCCGCCCGCCCCGCCGCCCGAGGCGACGTCGCCTGCTCCTCCCCACCCCCCTGGGTGGCAGGTTCAGGCCCCGGGTCCGAGCCTGCGCCCCTGCAGCTGCCACTGCCGCCGTCACCGCCAGGGGGAGTGTCCGTCAGGAAACGTGGTGTTGCTTCCTTGGTGTGAAGGTGCTATCAAACTTCGGGTTTCTGTTCCTTTCCCCCGGTGTTTGAAGCGCGTAGAGGAAGATGGAGACCGAGTCCGGGGCGGTGAGTACAACAGTCAGGGCCTCCGGCCCCGGGGTAGCAGGGGTAAGGAGCAACGTGGACTCCATTCCTGAGGGGCTGGAAGAGCGAGGTCTAGCGCCCAAACGCCCACTATTTTGTCGGGAAGAAATGTGGACAGGATGCCCATCTACCACCGCGAAGAGCGGCCCGCCTGCAGGCCCGGTCGGGTCGTGTCGTGTGGTCGGCAAGGTGGGACCACCGGGCCTGGACCGGGTGTAGGCTGGCTGGGGGACCTCAGAAAAGGCCGGGAGATTTCGGGAGTCGGCGGGTGGCTGGGTCCTATGCACCAGGCGGGGCTGGGCAAGAGCAACAGCTTTCCCGCCGAAACTGGGCTCAGCGGCGTCTTTGACGCTCGCTCTGGCGGGACTCCGCCCAGCCGCCCACCGCGAGGGGTTGCCAGGGCAGCTGACGCCGCCTCTCCCCGACTGGTCAGTGTGGACCGGAAGGCCTGAGAGACCTGGGGGAGGGGAGGGGCACCGTGGCCCACGACGGACCCAGACACTCTAACACCTCAGGGCCCGGTGGGGGAGGGGCGGGAGCCAGAGAAGGCCTGAGGGGCCTGAGGCCCAGAGGCGGCGCTGCGGTGTCCCGCCTCGCGCCCCGCTGGCAGCCAATCAACGCGCGCCACGTGCGGACCGGGGGGTTGCCGGCGCTCGAGGCCGACGTCGGGTCGGTGCCGTTGAGGGTTCCCGCCACTGCTGCTGGCGGGATTGCGGGACAAAATTTCTCGCTGGCTAGCCTTCTTTTCCCTCCCGCACTTTGGTGGGGAGGGGGTGGATCCTCGTGTCAGTGTCCAAGTTCACGATGACCCGAGAGAACCCGAGGAAGTTTTTGCCGCGGCCATATCCCCCAGCGCCTCAGCTTGCTGGCCTCTGAGGGGAAGGAGCACCGAGGCCGTGACCGCGACGGTTAGCCTGCCCTCTTCCTGTTGTCTTCGTTGGCAAAGTGAATGATAGATTTCGAGGTTAATTCTCAAGGGAAGAAGTCAGTAAGGGCACATTAGAGGACATTTTTAATAAAATCTTTAGTGTTGGAAGTTTTGCTAAGCTAAGGACCCTTACGTCTAACCAAATAATAGCACCTACCTAAGTGCTTTTCATACATTTGCGAAATCATTGCCAGTGAAATGAGGCTTTATTGTTTAACTCCATGCATCGCTAGCCTTCTCTAAGGAATTTAGATATTGCTTCTGCTTGAGCCTTGTCACTGCTAACATTAAAATATTTTCTAGGCTATTTTAATAGCATATTCTTAAACCTCAGCCTAATGGTTGGGATATCATGAGCAGGAAGAAATGATTCATTCGTTTATTCATTTGTTCAACAAATATTAATTGAACACTTCCTATGACCGGCTCTACTTGAGACGCTTAGTGAGCAAAACAGGCAGAATCCCTTCCCGTATGAATATTGCACTATAGTGGAAAGTGATAGACAATAAACACAAGTAAATTATATAGCATGTTGGAAAGTGCTAAGTGGTAAGAAAAATGAGGCAGTTGGAACCCACAGTACAGCAGGAGTCTTAGAAACTGGAGAATGAAGTGAATAGGTTGGAAAAGTTGATGTTTTTCCTTTTTGGGTATCATTTAACCAGTTTCTCAATATAGGAAATAAAGCATTCTTTTCACTTCTGTTCATGTCATCTCTCTCTCTCAAGGAAGAATAATGGAATTAACTTTTATTTAAACCAATTGGAGAACAAACGAGTTCATCTGTTGAACTCATTTTGTTTTTAAGAAGAAAATTTCATAAAGACTGATTTTTGTTAATTTTGCAAATACGTAATTTCTACACCCTCTAAACAGGCAAGATTATATCTACTAGAGCTGTCCTATTATCTCTAGCAATGCAAATATCCAGTAGAAAAATTACGCATCCCCAGATCATCCATCCATTCTCTGCACTACAGAGTCACTATTTGTGACTGAAGTTACAAATAACCTCCAAATGCTTAGAGAGCATGCTGTTAAGATTGGGTTCCCAATTTCTTTAATTGGAAACTACAACATAGCAATTATTAAATGTGATAAATTTTCTGTGGTTTAATAGGTGTTTTTATGAACTCCCTTATTAGGGAATATGTGTTGTTTGTCCCCCCTTAATACTAGATGCAGAATAGAGCCCAATAAGGTCCAGCCTACAGCCCCATAATCACTACTGGTCTAGTCATTTCTCAGTATATCTTGAAGAGATTAATTTAGGGATTATGGTTTTATTGGCCAATGAAGTGAGAGAGGAGAGCAAATATGAAAAAGAACAACTCTGTTATCTAAGTTAGAGATTCATTTTATGTATTTGTTTCTCAGAGAATTGAAATTATGAACTGCAAGCTTTTTTGAAGCATTCATTTAGTATGTTAGACTGTCTCAGAAGTCTGTTAAGTGTCCCCAGAAAGAAAGTAATTAGCAAGTGCTTAAATTGGTTTCTCTTCAAAATTCTATTCTCGTCTTGTTTTTTCAGATATACGTTAAGAGTCTACCATCTTGCCATTGTACAAAGGCTTATATGTTAATATATATTTATTAAAATCTAAATTAGGCCCCCAACTTAGAATTGTGAACATACATGTACTGAGCTCAGTTCTTTGGTATACAAATTTATACCTATGAGTTACAGGTATATACATTTTTTTTTAAACGAAATCAGTTCAATGTTCAAATTGACAAGTGCATTTAAAAATTTGACTTTAGAGCTAAAATATGGTGAACTTGAACATCAGAGTTTATTGACTTGTCAGTGCCCTTTAGCCAAAGACTACCAGGAACATATCTGCAGTTAAGTAAAGTTGGGTCTATTGAATTGTTGACACAAGGAAGAGCATACACCATGGAGCCTCTAGGTAAGAGGGTGTTAGAAAAGAACTTACTATGGGATTTAGGCTTGTGTCAAGCTCTTTTTAGAGAACATTTAAGGAAGAAGGGCTGTACTCTGAAATACATGTTGTCAGAAAGTGGGAGTAATTCTATGATTGGGTATGTTAATTTTTATTTAGAAGGTAAGAAAAATAGATTGAGGCCAAATCTATGATTGATAAAGAAGGAGCAGTTACACGAATCAGCCAGGATTTTTGTTTCTTGTGGTTTGGACAATGCTTTTGTTTTTGTCAGGGTTCAGACATCATTATGGAATGGTCTTGTTTTTAATGTGATCCATCACAGTCAAAGAGTAACTTTGCCTAATGTCTGTTAACAAGAGAACACCACAGCCTTACTGTGAGTTCCAGGCCAACACCTAACATCACCAGAACCAAGCCAGTTCCCAGCTGTCTAGGGCTGTTTTTTCCTTTCTCAAACTTCTTTTTCGAGTTTAATATTCCTCAACATTTATAATATTTAAGTAGTATATTTAATAGCAATTAATATAAGTATATTTAAATAATATATTTTAAGATTTAAGATTTCTTCTGTAGTGGAGTAGATTCTGTATTTCCCATATTTTTGTTGCTCCAAAAAGTTATTAGTTCTAACTATAATTTTCATAATATTAGAATAAAATTAAAGTCTAAAATATTACATTTTGCCTAAATAACTCAACTTTTTGATAGATATATGTTTTCAGCCTGCATCAAAACTTATACCCAATGCTAAAAATTTAAAAGAATTTTATTTTACAGCAAACATCAAATCAGACGCAAACAGATTCATTATCTCCATCCCCTAATCCTGTGTCACCTGTGCCTTTGAATAACCCAACAAGTGCCCCAAGATATGGAACAGTGATCCCTAATCGCATCTTTGTAGGAGGAATTGACTTTAAGGTACCTATTTATGTATGCAACATAGTGTATTTTTTGCATTAGAAGTTATTTTATTTCTCAGAACTACTTTGTACAACTACAAAAATAATAATATTTACTAATTGCATAATGATTAGTAGGTTTCACATTGTCTTACTATAAAGAATCTTTTCAATAACAATGTAGGTTAAATAGAACATATATAATTGTCCAATTTCACATACAAGGAAATTGAGGCTCATTGACGTATCTACAGGCTCCTAGCTTCTTAGTGACAGAGTGAAGACTAGAATCCCAGTATTCTGACTCATAGTTTCATATTCTTTACTTCACCATACCACACTAATTATACTTTATTACATAGTATTCCAAAAGACCAAATAATGTATGACTATAATTTAAAAAAAAGATTCAATATTTTAAAAAACACAAAATTTAGTCCTATGAAATCCTATTTCTTTATCCCAATTTTATTGTCAGGTTCCTACTAATATCCTGAACTTCCATCTTTCACAAATTCCTTTCTGCCACCTAATTTAGAATTTGATCACCAAAAAAAAGGCCTGTGACCTTATCAGAATAAAGCATCTTCACATTAATATATTTTAATTATGTAATCAACCATTTCACCATTTCAGAGAGGCTTAGTTTGTTGTTGTTGTTGTTGTTTTTAGATGTTTTGCAGCACCATTTGGGAGATAGTAGTAAACACCTCTAGGAAAGGCCTGCATGGCTATTTTGAGTAGAATATCCTACTTCCAAGTGGATATGTAGAAGGATTTCCAAGCTTCCATTTTATATACTGGAAATTACAGGGATAGTTGTTTTTCTTAATTAAAAAAAAAAATCCTTGTGCCATTAGGGTATGAAATTTATTACTCACTATTTCCCTGTAATCAGTCTTTCACAATTTGATGAAATTACTTTTTTTCTGCTCAAGAGAAATGTTACACTTACTGTATTTGTCAGAATAATGATTCTTAAGCAAGTATGTGATTGGTTCACTAAAAATAAAGAAAAATTATTTCTAATGAAATCTTTATTTTTTTAGAAAGATTTTCTGTTTCTATGAAAAATATTAATGGCTGACCATAAATATTCAAGTTGAGTATTCATGTTCAGAATTAATTTATATTACAAACAGTATATTTTTGAAATAAATCTTCAATAAATGGAAACATTTGTATGGCTAGGTTATTCTAGGTTACTGAATTCTGTCAACTACATTATGAACTTTGGAGGCCATTGTAACAATGCAGTTATAGCTTTCAGGTAATTGCTAGGGTTCCCTCCCTGATACTTATCCCTTTTCCAAAACCAGACAAATGACAACAAGGAAATAGTTTACTGTAGTAGCAAGCTGTGTCAAATTTTGTAAAACTTTTCTTTTTAGAAGCTTATAGCCCATCCCTCTTCATACTTAATCATCTTAACTGTCTCATTTTTCAACTAAGAAGTAGAGCTGCAAAATTGAACTAGTGATTCTATCAGAGAATAGTTTGAATTAATTTGTTTTCGAATCTCTAATAAAAATTCTTATTCTGGCATTGCTTCCATTTTCAGTTTATTGAAATAAGAGGTATTTAGTTATTCTTATATTAATTCAGTATTTGTCATCATCCAGTTTAGTAGCTTTAGGTTACCAACTAATAGCTTATAATGTATGTAAGTAGTGAGGTAGCAGGGGAACTCAAGAGGCATAGCCCCACTATTAGGCATGTCTTTTTCTGTGTATATAAAGAAAATTTTTTTCTAGGGATATTTAAAGTTCCCCATGGCATAGTTATACCTGAGCCAGAAAATGAAATTGCAATGAATTTAGTGTGAATACTCTAGGAAAAGGTGATATGAGTCTATTAAGAGACTATTTCAATTAAAACCATCTTTGTAGATATCTTGTACATAATAGTCTAATAATGACTCAGATTTTTATTTTGAATATCATAATGTCATTATTTAGCCAAAATGTATATTGAGTACAGATAAACTATCTAAAAACTTTAAATCTTGTAGCCACTTCATTGGTGTCACAAACTGAGTTCAAGTACTTTTGGAAATATATTCCTTTCCTAAGACCTTACTCTTCCTGGAGACTGCATATTAAAATAGAGGGACTGGTATATATTGCCAACATCCTAGTTCCACTGCCATGATCGTGAGCCTCTCTGAGCCATAAGAACCAATAGTAATATGCCCTTACTATAGTTACAGCCATGCCTGATTCAAATTATTTTTTAAAAACTGGCAAAAAGAATTTCTTTAAATATTAGTGGACTTTCTTTGTAGTTTTAAAGTAATTCAGCTTAAAAATTTTTTATTGATTATAATAGTTTAATAACATAGTTACTGCATAAAGCAATGTATTTACATTGATTTTAATAATTTAGTGGTTTATATACTGTTTTTATGTTAAGAGGCATTCTTATATTCATATTACTCTTTGCTTATAATCCTTTTTGTCTCCAAAACAAACATAAGACTTGTTTCATTTTTTAGCAATTAAAAATATTTTTTGTGTTTTTCTTTTATGCCATTAGACAAATGAAAATGATTTAAGAAAGTTTTTTTCCCAGTATGGGTCTGTAAAAGAAGTGAAGATTGTAAATGACAGAGCTGGAGTGTCCAAAGGGTAAGTATCACTATAGAAAGTACATAGAATTAATAATTGTGTTTTTATTGGATTACTAGGTTTTATATGCTAACTTACTTTGATTCCATTTTTTAAAAAGAGAATTTCATACCCTCTTCTTTTCCTCCTACCTTTAATCTCCCATTTCGTGTGTGTGTGTGTGTGTGTGTATTTTGGAGGGAGGGGGGACACTGTAACAATTCCTTAATTTGTTGGGAAGTTATTATTCTTGCATGGGCTGAAGGACCATTCAATGTTAGATAGCAAGCATTTAATGTTGAGTAATGTACAGTAGCTAAGGAACCAGAAGCTAAAGGAATCAGATATTTTTGGAATTGTGTGCTTGCTTTAGACTAGAGAGAGCTTTATTTGAGAAAAGCTGGCAAAAGGAATGTCTGTAGGTTTTGCCTCAGAGACCTAGTTAAGGAACTAACCTGAGAAATACAACTTTAATGAGAATGGTTTTTAATTCCCAAATCAAAGAGAATGAAAACTGAGAAGAAATCAGCAGGATTTGTCTAAAAATCACTAATGGGGCGCCTGGGTGGCTCAGTTGGTTAAGCGACTGCCTTCGGCTTAGGTCATGATCCTGGAGTCCCAGGATCGAGTCCCACATCGGGCTCCCTGCTCGGCAGGGAGTCTGCTTCTCCCTCTCCCACTCCCCGTTTGTGTCCCCTCTCTCGCTGTGTCTTTCTCTGTCAAATAAATAAATAAAATCTTTAAAATAAATAAATAAATAAATAAATAAATAAATAAATAAAAATCACTAATGACCTTAGAGCTGTTCCAGTGGATTGGTATATGCAAAAGCCAAATTTCAGAGAAGAAAGAGGTAGTTTACATAGTGTACTCACTTAAGAAGTTTGACAGTAAAGTTAAAGAAAATGGGTAAGACAGTGGAGATCAGTGAAGGATTGTGTTTGTTTTCTTGAAAGAGAGGTAAGACATATATATTTATAGACATAAGAGAAAGGAACGACTAGTGAGGTGTATAGAAAATTATACTAGTGTGGGAAACCACATTTAAGTATGTCAGATAAGCACTTTGGAAGAGATGGGATTCTGCAGAGAGGTTATTTTTAAACAATTGAGATACTTCCTCAGACTGACAACCAGTATTAGGATGAAGTGAGATTGTACCTCTTGTATTTGGTTAATAGAATTTACAATATTTTGGTAATATCCATTTTTTTTACCATTGAAAAACACATAGAAAAAGAAAAACACATAGAAATGTAAACTGTATTTTATGCCTTTTCCACTGGGTGGTGTATGTGTTCTACCAAAAAATTTAGCATAAAAATATTACCTTAGCCCTTGTTTAGTGTTTGGGCAAATAGAAAAAAGAGAAATTCCTTTGTTTAAAAAAAAAAAAAACTTTTTTATACAATAGAGTAATTATGAATCAAAATAGTAATCAAGATATTTAATACTACTCTAGTTTCCTTAAATTATCTAAATAGAAATTATGCTGGGGGGGATATACTTTTTATTTCTTTCATATCTTTTTGTATATTTTGGCTTTTTGGATATTGCATACATAATATAATTGTATCTGGAACATTATATGAATTGTACTCTGAAGGTAACAATTATATATGAAAAGCAGATATAAAATCTGGGATGTACATATTTTTAATTGATTTATGTTTGGGAAATACTAATAATTGCATTATCAGTTTATATGTGCTAATAATAAATAATACATCTATATACTCATTTGCCAATGTAAAAAATTTTATTGTGTTGAAATTTTTATTTTTTTAAAGTTTTTTTTCCTACTCTGATTCTTATTTAAGCTAAACTTCTATTCTGTACTAAAATTTATTGTATCCTAATTTGTAAGCTAGGACATGAATCCTTCATGCTTTCCTGCCTTGTATACAGCTCAGATATGGAACTGTTTTAAGATCCTGGGTTGTTTTTTGTTTTTTTTTTCTTTTAGTGTCCCAACTCTAGCAGGAGGTGACCGTATTATGCTCTGAATTATACTCTTAAATTTTGCATGATGGTGCTCCATAGAAAACTGCTCATTCCTACAGTGGCCCATTCTTAAAAAGAAATTGAATTTTAATATAACTCTAATGTTCTAAGAAAATAATTAATGTATTTATTTAGGTATGGCTTCGTCACTTTTGAAACACAAGAAGATGCACAAAAAATTTTACAAGAGGTAAGATCTTTTGATGTATTTAACTTCATTTTTTGGACCTTCTTTGAAACTAATCCTTTAGGATATCTTTTTTATTATTATCACTACAGTACAATGATTGATTGTTAGAAAAAAATTTTAATTTATTTGCATCTCAAGATTGACATTGGTCTCCAAAAAAATTGAATTAAAAAAAGATTAAACAGGGGCTCCTGGCTGGCTCAGTTGGTGGAGTGTGCAACCCTTGATCTTGGGGTTGTAGGTTTGAGCCCCACATTGGGTATAGCGATTATTAAAAATTAAGTCTTTAGGGGCGCCTGGGTGGCTCAGTTGGTTAAGCAGCCGCCTTCGGCTCAGGTCATGATCCCAGGGTTCTGGGATCGAGCCCTGCATCGGGCTCCCTGCTCAGCAGAGGGCCTGCTTCTCCCTTTCCCTCTGCCTGCCACTCTGCCTACTTGTGCTCTTTATCTCTGTCAAATAAACAAATAAAAAATATCTTAAAAAAAAAATTAAGTCTTTAAAAAAAAAGATTAAACAGAAATTTTATCTACAGGAAAACAAATTCCAGATTATTGCATGAGTATGTTTGCGAAGTTGTAATATTTTTTTCTTTATTTGCTTACTAAGAACTTGGGTATATATGTTTTCTGAAGCGTTAACAGCACTTTGAATTCCTAAAAACACTACAAACATGGATTCCTAGAGTGAAATTATCTGAGATTATTTCCATCCTTTCTGAAAAACTTTATATAAGCTAAGAACATTCATAGAAAAAATCTATAGCCTGCAGTTCAGTGTAATAACTTTAAATTTGACAAATGTTACATTTAATTTTTTTAGGAAAAAATAGTTTGAATTGTACATTACTAAATCACATGCAGCTGATCTTCATTATTCATAGTAATGTTCTATAAAGTCGCCATGAACACTCAATTAGCAAATATTGGAACTGTTGCTCCTAGAAGAAATACAAGGTTCCCACAAGTTTCTGTTTACATTATTTTCATCAACCAATCACTACATAACTTTGTTTTATGTGTGTTTCTGTTTAAAGACATCATGTTAAATATATATTGTTGATTCATTAACATTGAACTCCTGGCCAACAGCACTATAACTCATGTATGAATTAAGCCCATCTAAAACATTTTCTCCATAAGGTAAATGACAGTCTTCTTGTGCTTAGGAACATTAGCCAGCACTTCAACACTACACCTGAGGGCCATTTTAAATAGCAAATTTAAAAAAAAAAAAAAGATAGCAAAATCACCAACATAAAACACAAAAATGCAAAAAACATGGCACTAACAACATGAAATAGACTCTTGTTTAAGAGCTGAGACAAGAAGAGAGAGTGTTGCCTTGTTTGACCTCAGCCTGGGACTGTGTATGTCAGGCAATTCAAAATTTTCACCTCTCTGCTCATGTCCACTAGTAACCACTAAATTGCCACAGGTATTGATTTTGGGGTTACAAATAATTTTAGTGAATAGGTGAATTTCCAAATATGGGATCTATGAATAGAGGATTGACTGTATTCCAATTAAAGAACTGGGGTCAGAGAATTGGAACCAAGATTCAAACCCAGATCTTTTAATATCCAAAGACTATGCCCTTTCCAGTATTCCTTGCTACTTTCAAAAAATGTTGTAATGTGAATTTTAAAAATTGTTTCTTACTAATTTTTCATTATTGGTTTTATAAAACAGTAGTACCAAGATAATAAAATATTTTTTCTTATTTTAGGCTGAAAAACTTAATTATAAGGATAAGAAACTGAACATTGGTCCAGCAATAAGAAAACAACAAGTAGGAATCCCTCGTATGTATTGAGAACTAATGTATTTTTCAGTGTTTTTGCATGGTTCTTTTTTGAAATATTAGACTTTTTCAAGAACTTAATTAAAATATCAGGCTTCTTTCAGCTAATAAGGTTATTTTAGCAAAGTTGGTGATCAAATGAATATTTCTTACCACAAATTAATATATGTTAGATTTGGGGGGGCAGGGAAAATTTTACACAAATAATGGTGCTTACATATATTGCATATAGTTACACCTTTAAAGGAAAACTCCTCTACATAAAAATATAATTTAAAATTGCAAAGGTAATTAGAAGTATTTTGGTACTACTCTTTAGAAGTTTTCTAAATAGAAAGGTAATTTAAAATTAGAAATTGAAGATACTGAAAGTAAAAATATAGAACCAGTATCAGAAACTCTAGTTGCATGGTAGGTACTGTAGCCCAACTAGATATGTCATAATTATGAGGGAACAATTCCTAAAGCTTTAAGAATTGGCAAAGTTGTGCCTTCCTCAAATTTCTGTAATGCTGCCAACTCTACTCTTCTTTTTTTCTCACTCTTCCTATTTATTATATTAGGCATCTTCACAGTTAGCTTTTTACCTAAATATTTATTAAACTCTATAATAGTCTTTGGCTAGAAGAAGATACCCAAAATTAGTAACTAAATTTTCTTATTCTTCCTTAACTGTGCCCTAGAATCTACTGGAATGTTTAAAACATTAGGTGGTTATTGTGTATCTGTTAACAAATTAATGGTTGTGCTCATTTGGACTGTTCTATTTTTGACTTAGAAATTAACAGTTATAGGGGTGCCTGGATGGCTCAGTTGGTTAAGCGACTGACTGCCTTTGGCTCAGGTCATGATCTCAGGGTCCTGGGATGGAGTCCCGAACCGGGCTCCCTGCTCAGCGGGGAGCTTGCTTATCTCTCTTCCACTCCCCCTGCTTGTGTGCATGCTCTCTCTCTCTCTGTCAAATAAATAAATAAAATCTTTTTAAAAAAGAAAAAAAGAAATTAACAGTTACCAAGTTTAATTTTGACTTAGTTATTTGTTCATTTAGAAGATAACTGAAGTGTCCTTAGTAGGTTAATACTTCTTGTTAGTTCCAAGAGTTAAGCTGTAACATGTAGTAACAGTTCTATACTACTAGCAGTAGGTATAAGTAGTAATGTTCATATTATGACCCATAAGTTGCATTAAAAAAGAAAAACCGTAAATTACCATGCTGAATGCTTTCAAACAGACAGTAAATTTGAGAAGTATAGGGTTAATAACTTAACCAAATGGTAGCATTAGCCTTCAAATCCAGGACAGGTTGACTCCAAAGCTCTTTATACTTTTCTTCAAATAAATATTAAGTATAAAAGTAGATTTACAAAATACGGGGGATTTTTATCTCAATTTTTTCTCAAATCTATCTCTTTTTCCATCTCCATTACCAACATTCTAGTCCTAGCTACCCAACTTGCTTGCCTTGATTACTGGAAGAGCCTCCTAACAGGTCTTTCTGAATCCAGTTTTGGTACCTTCCAACATCATATACAAGGCAGCCAGAGTGATCTTTCAGAAGTGTACATTTTCTATTATTCTCTGCTTATTTTGAGCTGTTCTTTCCTTCTCTTCCTATACTTTAGCCATCTAGCCTTCTCTCAGTTCCAGAACATACCATACTGCTGATATACATTATTTTCTTTACCTAGAATGCTCTTTGCCATCCCATTCCCATCCCAATCTTTTTTTTTTTTTTTAGATTGGGCATAGAGCCCAATGCGGGGTTGAATTCACGACCCTGAGATCAAGACCTGAGCTGAGATCAAGAGTCAGATGTTTAACTGACTCAGCCACCCAGGTGCCTCCCAATCATTCTTTAAAGCTCAGCCCAAACATCATTTCTTCACAGATTAAATACAATTGGAAAGTTCATACTATGAGTGTAATACCCTATACTACCTCTTAATGTATTTATCAAAATCGTATTTAATTAATTAAATTGTGTAATAAGCTAATAACTGTTTTCCCCACCAGAACCTAACTTCCACATGGCATGTCCAATTTTTTTTTTTTTCTTTTTGGCTGTATCACCAGCCAAGTTCAATGCCTTGTAATAGTACTGACTCAAAATTTATTCATTTACTTAACAGATAAACCTGTGGCTCCTTGAGTATCTTTGAAGGGAAATCCATGAAACTCCTGAATTGTGTGCAAAATTTTGTTTGAATGTATATATCTCTGAGAAAAGGGTCCATGGTGTTCATCAGATTCTCAAAAGGATGGGATTAAGAATCACTAACATAAGCAGTAACAATACTAGATGAAATATAGTGAAAATATAAAAGCTCAGAAGCAGTAGTGTTGCTTAAAGTGGTAGGTCAGTGCTACTCACAGTGTGGTTTGCAGCCAGTAACAGTTCAGTTGGAATCTGTCAAAATGCAGATTCTCAGGCTCTATCCCAGACTTACTGAATCTAAATCTCTGCAAATGTGGCCCTGGAATTTGTATCCTTATAATAAACTATCTAGGTGATTCTTATGTATGTTAAAATTTGAGAATTACTGGTATAGTGGAAGGAGGATTGCCAGTTCCAGTAATTTACATAAACTTGCTGGTCAGTACTTAATCTGACTTGGCTTTTATATAAATTTTTCAAGTGTTATCTTGACAAAAAAAATATATTTTGGGGGAGGGAGGGGTTATATATAACTTGATCTGAGAAAAGAGATGGGGACCTAGAACTACACATGAAGATTTGTGGTCATGTTTGCAATAAGCAGCAGTTGTTGCAAAGGGAGGCTGGAGAGTAAGAGTCATAGCCTCAATGAATGCTTGTGATAGTAGATGCAAAGAATTTTAGGATGGAACCAAAATTCTTCAGGAAAGTATGGAATTTTTTCCAGCTTCACTGCCTTCATCATCTTTGGCCTTTTACAAATAAAGTTGGGTTTTTTTTTTTAAGATTTTATTTATTTATTTGTCAGAGAGAGAGCACAAGCAGGGGGAGCAGCAGGCAGAGGGAGAAGCAGGCTCCCTGCCTGAGCAGGGAGCCCAGTGTGGGGCTCGATCCCAGGACCCCAGGATCATGACCTGAGCTGAAGGCAGATGCTTAACCAACTGAGCCACCCAGGCGTCCCTACAAATAAAGTTCTTACTAAGGTCTTAGGAACCTCATTACAGTGTCTATAGTCTTCAGTTAACTCATATATAATGTATATTTGTAAAAATAATGACCTTGCTGATAATAATTTAAATTTTTAAGCCTTGTGTTTGATTACATTGTTATTAAAATCTAAATTGGTGAATCTTTAGTATTCTAAGATTTTATTTATTTATTTGACAGAGAGGGGGAGAGAGAACAGGAGCAGGGAGGAGGGGCAGAGGCAGAGGGAGAAGCGGACTCCCCACTGAGCAGGGAGCCCAATGTGGGACTTGATCCCAGGACCCTGAGATCATGTCCTGAGCCGAAGGCAGCCGCTTAACTGACTGAGCCACCCAGGCATCCCAATTTTTAGTATTCTTTATTGAACTTATTTCTTTTTCTTTTATTCACTTTAAGCTAATAAAAGCTCTAAGAGAGTGAGTTTGAAAATACATACTTCGAAAATGCTTTAATGTATGGGATTTTTTTTTAATTTGCAACATTCAGTTTTTACTGTAACTATATAGGTGTGTTAAGATAAACATTTTCAAGTGTCCAGAAATTACCTTTTTAAAAGTTAAACTGAACATTTTAATTATTATTATTTAATCTTTGCTTTAGGTTCCAGTATAATGCCAGCAGCTGGAACAATGTATCTAACAACTTCAACTGGATATCCTTACACTTATCATAATGGTGTTGCTTATTTTCATACTCCAGAGGTAACTTCTGTCCCACCACCTTGGCCTGTAAGTAATTTTCATCTTAAAAGGGTTTCCATCTATTCTATCAATTTTTTAAAACATTTATTTCTGAAATATTTCAACCATAGACAAGTACAAATAATAATATAACAGCCATGTAGCTACCACTTAAATTTAATAAATGTTAACATTTTGCCATATTTACTTAAGTTCTTTTAATAAGGGGAAATGAAATATGAGAAATTCAGGCAAAGTCTCCTTGCCCCCATTTTCTTTCCACCTTTTTCTCCTCAGACATATCCAGAATATGTAACCAGAATATCTTTCCTATCATTTTATGTTTTTACTACAAATGTAGGTATCCTTAAACAATAGGTAGTATTGCTTTGGGTGATTTTTAAACACTATGTAAATATTAGTTTTTCTATTCAACATTATGTTTTGGAGATTAAACCATGTTGATACTAGTATATCTAATTCACTTATTTTAATATTTTATAATATTCCATTGTATGAGTGTATATTCCCGTATTGATGGACATTTTAAGTTTTTTCTGTAATCAAGACTACAGTGAACATCCAGATCTTGTATGTATTATGTGAGAATTTGTCTAGGAAAGTAGTCTTCAAAGTTTTTCGCTTGTATATCCTCTAAACATTTTCTTAAAAATTACGAATACTCATTTTTAAGTTGATATCTGAAATTTATCATAATTTTAAATAATTTAGGAATATAACATATTATGTAGGTTGTATACCTAAAACTAATATAATGTTATATGTCAGTTATACCTCAAAAAAAAAAAGGATAGAAAATGTCTAGAACTCTGTTAACAAAACTAGTCAGCCAAATAAAACTAATCAAATAAAACTTCATTTCTATTAGAAAATTCTAACTTTTAATTATTTTAATTATTTTTAAGTTCAAATAAATGCATTAATATGTATTCCTATAACCATGATGTAACTTATTTTGTTCCCTGGATGAAATAAGGAACCATCTCCCCTTTAATATTTCTTATACAAGCTCTTTTTGCTTTGCTTCTCTCATTTCTCAAGGGCATTGCCTTCTTGAATTATCTATTTGTTTGATGCCCTGTTGGTATTCATATTCCCAAACAAAGCATTATAATAGATCCAGAATGAGTGAGAAGTGTGCCTTTCATCATGAAGGAGAATGGTAATTGTGAAAGGGAGTTCTGAAAAGAAGACAGACACATGGTACACAGACGCATTCACAAGCAGATCAAATCAGGAAGGAGTACATATGAAATTTATGAATACTCCTAATTTTCATAAATATATTATGAATACTCCTAAACCTATTCATGCCCATGTACCACTGGAAAAATTCTGTATTCCCCTACCTTGGTCTAGGCTACAATATATGCATAGAAGTAAAATTTCACATTATAGAATATACACATTTTTGACTAAATGTTGCCAAATGGCTTTCCAAAGTATACCAGTTTACACTTTAGCTAACAGTTTATGAGAGCTCCAGTTTCTCCATAATCTACCAACCCTTTAATTTTAAATTTTTGCCAATATTATTATGAAATAGTATTTTGTTTTTTTATCTTCCTAGTCACTGGTAAGATTGAACATATTTCAGGTATTTATTGGCCATTCCACTTTTCTTCTGTGAGGTGCCTCTTCATGTCCTTTATCCTTTATCTTTTTCTATTGGGGTTATTTGTCTTTTTCTTGAATTCATTATATGAATTTTGTGAGTTCTTCTGGTGTGTGGTTTGTCCATTAACTTTACAGGTTTTTTTGGTCATATACTAATTCTTTGTTTTAATGTTAACAAATGTATTAATGTTTTCCTTTATGGAAATGGTTTCATCTTTTGGTCTCTTATTTTTTAAAACAAAACACTTCCAAAAAAAGAATAAAAAATTTTAAATTAAAAAAACACTTCCTTATTACAATATAGATATTCTATATTTTATTTTTAAAATACTATGGTATTGCTGTTTTTCACATCTAGATCTTAAATCTGGAGTTCATGTATTGACTAATCCATCCTCTTTCATTATTTTGAAATGAATCCTCGGGGCGCCTGGGTGGCTCAGTCGGTTAAGCGACTGCCTTCGGCTCAGGTCATGATCCTGGAGTCCCGGGATCGAGTCCCACATCGGGCTCCCTGCTC